GCAAAGTTCTTTTTCACAGGACAGTATCTCATCTTCAATATAGTGCATTTCACACAGGTAAAGATTTCATAAAGAACATTCATTAAAAAATGTAATACTGTCCTGCTGGCTTACAACACCACCAAAACTCTTTTATGTGCAGGAACTCAATACTACAACTTAGTGACACATTCCCAAGGCAGAGAATTCAAGCAGCAACCTCCCTCTTCCTTACCCACTGCTCTCCCTAGTTACCCCCACCCCATTACCCCAGGGGTTTTCTCACGGTGCTTAAGAGAGCCCAGACAGAAGGAACAAGCCCCACTGCCAATAAAACACCACTGAATCACTCAAACCACCTTACCCTGTAAAACATAGATGTTATCCTTATACTCCACAGCACTATGAAACTCCATTGCCACAGGCATGGGACAGACAGCTGTCCAGCAGTTCTCTCGGCTGTCGTAGCACTCCACAGACTTGAGTGAGTTCCTCCCATCTCCTTCGTACACTCTGCCCCCGATGGCATAGAGCTTACCACAGCAGTGAACCAACTTGCAGCCTATTCTGGCTCGCAGCAAAGGAGCCTTGGGGATCCACCTGTTGCCTGAGTGATCATACATCCAGAAATCACTCTCTGCTCTGTGGTCAATGGAGACCTCGCTGCTGCTCGGCCGGTAACCACCCGCAATGTAAATATCGTTATCAGGAGACACAAGGATCCCAACCTCCCTCAAGTCATTTGGTGGCTTGCATAGTTTAAACACTCTCCCTGTGACCGAATCTAAACAAGGCACTGTTTGCTTCTTTCCTGAGTGTTTGTGGGCAGCATCGAAGCAGATGATCATTTCTGAAGCAGTCATTCCAAGCCGTTGTGTGTAGCCATTGGCACTGGGTTGTCCCTTTTGTACACAGCTTTTGGCCATTGCCTGTGCAAACATGGGAGGGATTTTCTCTAAAAAGGTCTCTTCCAACAGAGGCAAACGGATGCATTTGGCAAATATTTCAGGAAGGTGCACTTCTCTCTTGTTTTGTTCATGCTCAAACCACCTTATAATGCTGTCATAAACATGTTCTTCTTTGTCTACATTTAAATCATCACTGTCCAGGATGCTTATCAGTTGGTCTTTTCTCAGCTGGAGAAACTCTTGCTCTTTGGAGACACTCAGGAACTTTTTACGGATGTAATCTTGTGACCTGTCCTTGAGCTCCTGATGCCCATAGTGATCAGCAAAGATAAACACCCCGATGGAGTTCTGTGGGTCCAAGTGACTGATCATGTATTTAGCACACTGGTCTTGTATGGAAGGGATCTGGAAGATACTGGCTGCAGTGAACAAAGCTTGAACGTTGGCCTCTGTCAGCATCACTCTGGAGGTATATGCATAGTTCAACACTAAATGCATTGACTCTGCTTCAACACCAACTATCCGAACTTCCTTCTGGGTACTCTCTGTAAGGCCACTAGTGAACATAGATCTACAAAACAAACACAGTTAGCAGCCTGTCTGTAATTACCTCCTAACTACAGGGATAAGACTAAATTCTATTGGACAGCTAATCCCAATGCATTCGCCCTCACATCAGCACAAATACATCTATCACAGGTGTTGAACTCTGCTCTGTGGGTACCTCAGTTTAAGCTCAATTCTAGACTTACTGAAACCAAAGTGAAAAGCTGCAATTTCTTGCTTAATTATCTCAGTAACCCCATGTTACAATTCACTCAGTTTACAGGCAAAGCCCTTGACATATCCACGTCTTTGCACTCAACCTTCAACAATTTCAGATTCATACTCTGGCATGCTAAAATATGTGACTTTAAAAGGAAACAAATTATTTTAATATGCTGTAACTGTATCCAAAACATCCTCAATATTCAGGCAATTTTATTCATTTTGTTTGGGGTTTTTTAAATCATGTGACATTTTCTCCAATGAAACTTTGCTTTGATAAATAGACACTGATAATTCATTGACCTTCAGAGGACAATAATTACTCACCAGGTGTTCTGTTATCCATAATTACATGGAATTTAGTACAGGTGTGATTTTTTTTATTTTTACATTTTCATTTAATGAAAACAAGTTCTAATTCTGCTTTTGCTCAGCACTAGAACAACGCACTGCTGTACCTGAAATAAGGACTGATTGCAGCAAGAACATTCCTATGACAGGAGAATGTTTTCCCATGATCCACTTCCACTACAATATCCGTCAGCTGTCCTTCATCATACATGGTCTTCAGCTGCTGAAGGATACTACAAGCATGGAAGGGATCCATCCCACTGCTGACTGGATTGGAAGGAGGAATTCCGTTCAGTGTTTGTGAAAACTGACTTGGTTCTACAAAGCAAAATTGAAAAGGTTTTAAAAAAAACCAACCTCCTAAAGAATTCACACATAGGCCAGAAAACCCCATGCAGGACCAAGAGTTAGCACTAATTGATATTCCTTAGTGTCACCATCCAGCCACAGCAAGTCTAACATCTTCAAGGGTGAGTAAAGATCTAAAGATACTTCAGTTATTGGGTTTTTTCTTTTTCTCATTGTATATGTTGGTTACCATTAACCTATAAAAATATCCATTCATGCAAAGGAGAAAAACAAGTTCTTCATATTTATGATCTATCACCGGGGAGGGGGAAATTAAGCAAAGAATCACAACACTTACTGACTTAGAAAATGGAAAACTCAAAAGAATGGAGAGGACCCAAATAATTCCCAAACCTACAGGACCATTACACAAGTCTATGTGTACACACTGAACTTCACACCGAAACAGGAACTTGCTCCTGACTTACACAACTGATGGTTAAACACAGACTCATGAAGAAACAGCCCCAGAACAATCGTGTTAGGCAGCAAACTCACATAAATTTGCACATTGAGTTACAAGTTTTTCTCTGCAAACAAAACACAATTATCATTTAAAATTCTTCAGGTGTGAAGGAGCTCCCAGACCACTATGAAAACATACTTAGTGGAGCACATGCCTCTAAACAACATGTGCTAAGCCTAAGTAAATCCCAAAGTGAAAATTGAGCAATAGCTCAAGCACAAAAATCTGTTTCGTAAGAGGGACAAAATTTTTACGCAACAACAACAACAACAAAGCAGAGACCAAAAGAAAAACATTAGGTGGCTAGAGCTGCAGATCAGGTAAAGCTGCTGACTGCAACAGAGAGAGCTTCCAACAACATTTGGGCAACACAAAGGGGCAAAGAGGAGAGAGAACAATGATGATGAATAGGAGAGTTAAGTTCTGACTCGTGGTGATACACAGCAGTGAGTTTCTCTCACTCAGAGCTTTGAGCACAGACACAGTGAATCAGTAGGATCTGCTGTTGGGCACACATTTCCCACTGCAGCTTGGGGCCAAACACCAGTGTCTCTCCAAAGTATTGTTAGGAAGAGTCTTCAAAACACTCTTCACTTGTGGTTTTTTTCCAAACACAGCAGTAAATACTAAAAGGTCAAATCTACAAGAGGACAGTTTACTTCTCACAGTAACTGTCATCATTTCAAGGTTTCCAACATTCAGCACCAACCAATCATTACAGAGGGGGAAGGTTTGTACCTGTGGTTGTTTAGAAACAATGTTAATGACTAGTGAGCAACTTCCAAGTAAGTAACACATTGCTAGATCAGTTCCAAAGCTTCCTACCTAGCACAGCTGTGATGGACAAGAAAACATTGAGGCATTTACCATTGCAGAAGAGTTTAATTTACATTCTAACAGTGGAAAAAAAGACACAAAACCAGCTCTTCTCTGACTGGGCTAATCTCTCAGGCAATGAGCACATTATCAATTCAACTTCCAGTGCTGGAATACTCATCCCTGTATCCACTTCTTGCCTTTAACCCTTACCCATATCACAGCTTTCACCCCATAAAACTTTCCCAGTCACTTCCACCACCTTCATTTTCTCCCTCCCACCCCAAGCACCTTTTTCCTCTATTAATATTCCTCTCACAGCCACCTCAACACTTTAACGCTGCTCCTCACAGACATCACCCCCAAACACTCTCCAGGTTAATTTCTCAGGCACCCCTCCCTCCCCCACCCCCCCCAGACCCATTTCCATCAACGTTTCATCCACCTTCTCGGCTCAGCTCCCCTCGTGGAAGCTTCTCCTTCCACCCTAACACAGCACAGAGTCACACACACCTCCCTCACCCAGGACCTCTCTCTCACACACAGACCCTCACACAGGCATCCTCACCCTCCCAGACCCCCTCCTCTGCCACCACCTTGCCCCACAGAGGCGATACCCCTCGCCGAGCACCTCTGCCCCTCCGGACCTGCTGGAGACCCTCCAGGGACCCTCCTGAGGTCTTTCACAGAGAATCTCTCCCCCTCCAGACCTCCTGGAGACCCTTCAGGGACTCTCACCGAGCATCTCTGCCTCTCCAGACC